ACATGGAAGTTAAAAAGGAGTCAACGTGAATGCAGAACAGTGACTAGGGACAGGGGAGGGAAGCTAAGGGAGGCTGGATTTGCTTAGTACATGCTCTATACATGCATTTGAATATCAAAGTGAAACCCACTCATATGCTAAAAAAATGTTAATGAAAAATAAAAATAAAGAATTGAGATAGGTATGGTGGCTCATGTCTGCCACCCAAGCACTTAGGACATTGAGCGAGGAAGAGAGCAACAAGGTTGCTATTTAATTTTTATCTCCCCCCAACCCCACCTCTTTCCATGTCCTCAAACTGCCTCAATTTTATGACCTCTTCTTTAATTATTATAGTTAAATATATGCAGATACAAATGTATGTATACCACACACACACACACACACACACACACACACACACACACACCTATATATCTACTCAGTAAATTAAGTATTGCTTTTTTGTACATGTGCCTAGGGCTGACCACTTGGGATTGGATAACCTATCAGGGAGCTCATCTCTAGAGAAAACTGATACTTCCTCTTTCAACAGTCTCTAATTATCTATCTGTAGTTTCCCTATCATGTCTAGAAGGCATCACCTAATAGCAGGCATCCTGGCCCAACTGATAAATGGGATCTCATAAACAAAAAACTTTCATATAGCAAAGGAAAGTCAAGTAAAGAAGGCCACAGAGTAGGAGCAAAATTTACCAGGTACACAACCAATAGAGGCTTAGTAACCAAAATATACAAAGAACAAAAACAAAGAACCAAGAAAATGAACAAAGAACCCAATTTAAAACAAAGGCTACTCCTATGTCTTGTAAGGAACTGCCTATGTTTTCTTCTAATACTTTCAAGTTTCACATTGGTCTTTGTTCCATTTGGAGTTGACTTTTGTTCAAGGTGAAAGATAAGCATCTAGAGTCTTTCTTTTATAGGCGAAGATCCAATTTTGCCAGCACTATTTGTTGAAGATGCTCTTTTTCCACCAGTTTGTGTTCTAGGCACCTTTGTCAAATATCAGGTGACTGAAATTGCATGTGCTCATGTTTGGGTCTTCAATTATGTTCCACTGACCTTGTCTGTTCTTGTGCCAGTACCATGCTGTTTTTATTACTATAGTTCTGTAATATACTGATGAATGGATAATGAAGATGTGGTACATTTACTCAGTGGTAAGGAGAGAAAATTATGAAATTTGCAGGTAAATGAATGGAACTAGAAACTGTTATACTAAGTGAAGTAATACAGATTCAGAAAAGCAAGCAATGTATGTTCTCCCTTGTTTGCTGATCTTAGCACCAATCCCCTATATGTGAGCATATATCCTGATATAATAGCAGGAGCTAGGAAAATGGAAAGGAAGCACAGAGAAAAAGGGAAAGAAAAAGTCCAAGAGAGGGGAATAATAGGAAGCATGTTACCAAGGGGGAAATGGGGAATGGGGGTACTCCACTGGGAAAGGAGGAGGGAAGGACGTAAAGGGAAAGAAGGAACTCTGGGGATAGTCTGAGACAGGTATTATCAAAGGGAAAATGGGAGTACTTAAACTGGGGAGGGAGGAGGGAGGTTAGACGGTGAGAGAGATAAGAGAGATAAAGCTTAGGTGGTGTGAAAAACCAGACAGAAAACTATTAACTGAAAAATCCCCTGAAAAATATGCATACAATAGCTGAACCATGAATGCATGTATATACCTGAAGGCTGTATAACAAGAAATACAGTGTAAGACAGGAGAAACCTCCTTTCGAGTTGTTGGTCAGTGTAGTCTAAGAGACTCCCCAAAAAACACAGGCTATTGCCACAACCCTTGATTACTTCCCAGAACTTGAAAGTAAGACCCTATTGCAGAAGACAGGATATGCTTCAGACACAGGACTTGGAGCAATGGAGCTGGAACTAATCTGGAAGCCTTCTCCCTGAAGACTAGCTCTCATGGTTATAGAGGATATTATGCAAGTTGTTAAGGGAGAAATTCAATCAATGGTCCAACCCAGCTATAAAGCCTAATAGCCACAACAACTATCTCTGTTGGGGCAGTAATGGCACATATATCTAGAGAATAATCATCAGATATTTAACTGGTCTTAAAGCCCTCTCAATGGGAAGGTACTCATGGGTGGCACTGTAAATATAGCCAAATACACATGACTGGGAAGGTCATAGATCCTAGAGAAAACCATATCTCTGTCAAATCTCTAGACAAATGAAATTTCTTACTGTATGCTAAATATGGATCCTTATATTTACAGACAAGTATACCACACACCACTCATCAAAGAAACTTCTTTTTGCAATAGAAGGAAGCTATTACAGAGTTTCACAACTGGTCATAAACAGAGAGAGTATATGTCTGAGAGATGCCTAGCCCTAAGTGACACACCTACAGTGGAAGCTCTATATCTAAGGCTCATGGAACATAGCAGAACAGGTGGTAGAGAGAAAACTAATCCATCCCTCAACTCTCACCAGGGAAGCTTCCTTATACAACAGAGTGTGATGCACACAGGAGGTCACAACTGGTTAAGTTTTAGAGAATAAGAGACTGCAAAGTATGTGTAGTCCTAGGTAGGACTCCCATATTAATCCTCACCTAACCATGGCTCAGGGACCCTTGCAGAAGAGGAGAGGAAAGATTGTAAGAGCCAAGGTTGTTGCATGAACATAAGGAAACAGAGGTTTTCAGGTCACTGGGAACTTGCTCATATGAACTTACAACAATGGTAATGGCATGCACAAGACCCATGTCAATTTAATCAGAGAAAAACCCAGCACAGAACAAGGGAAACCCTAGTCAAAGAACTATTAGCAACTGATTACTGCTGGGTGAGGGAGAGTAGATATTCTTTAAGGGAGTGACTCTAGACAGTCTGACTAGACTCCAGTGGATGAACCTGCACAGAGGGACTTCTGGTTACAAATACTTTACCAGCTAGGACTTAAAGTATATGACATAATGCATGAAATCTGAGTGGGGGAAAGGGGGAGCAATGGAGGGGTGTGGCTGTTGGGGGATGGGATCTACATTTGATTAAGATCTATTATATGAAATGCACAAAAACACAATAAAATATTTTAAAGATGTTTTGTATGTGATACACAAAAATTCAATAAAAAATATACAAAAAAGGACTACCAATATGAACTGAGAATTCTCAAAGAATAAATAAAAATGGCTGAGAAACATATCTAAAAATGTTCAATATCCTTAGCAATTAGGGAAGTACAAATTAAAACTACTTTGAAATTCCATCTTACCATAGTCAGAATGGCTAAATCAAGAAAACAACTGACAACAAATGTTGGTAAGGATGCAGGGAAAGGGGAATCCCTATTCAGTGTTAGTGAGATTGCAAACTGGTACTGTCACTACGGAAATCAATGTGGACAATTCTCAAAATGTTAAAAGTAGATCTTTCCTATGACACAGCTATACCACTCCTTGGCATATACTCAAATGACTCAATATCCTGCCTCAGCCTGGTCAGCCATGTTTATTCTTCTCGTTTCACAATAACTAGGAAATGGAAACAACCTAGATGTCCTTCAGCTGATGAATGGCAATGAAAATGTGGTACACATACACAATGGAATTCTATTCCACTGTAAGAAAAGTGAGATCATGAAATCTGGAGGTAAATGACTAGAACTGGAAAATATTATACTGAATGAGGTAACCCAGACCTAGAAAAACAAACACTGCATGTTCTGTCTTATTTGTGGATCTTACCTCCAAATCTTTACATGTGAGTATATAACCTGAAGTAACCACAGAAACCAGGAAAGTAGAAAGAGGCCACGGAGGGAAGCTGGGGGCAAGGAGTTCTAGAAAGGGGAATTGTAGGAGACAGGTGCTATGATGGGTGGAAATGGAAAAAATGGAGGTGGAACTTTAACTGGAAAAAGGGCAGGGAGGGTAACACAGAAGGAGAAGGAGGAAGGAGAGATAAATAACACTAAGGATGTTTTAAAACCATAAAAAATATTATTTATAAGCTTACTTAAAAATACATACATTGCCACACATGGTGGTGCACACATTAATCCCAGCACTCGGGAGGCAGAGGCAAGTGGATTTCTATGAGATCAAGGCCAACCTGGTCTATATAGTGAGTTCCAAGTCAGCTGGGGCTACAGGAAGGCCCTGTTTCAAAAAACAAAAACAAAATACATATACAACACATATGTGTCTATATATATGTGTATGCATATACATGTGTGTGTGTATGTGTATGTGTGTGTGTGTGTGTGCGTATTTTTTTTTACTGCTCCCAACAGCCATAGATTATCTAGCAAAAACCCCAGTGCCAGGCATGGAAAACCTCCCTTCAAGTTTTTGGTCAAGGAATCCAAAAGACTCGCCAAACAGTATAGGCTACTGCCATAGCCCTTGGTTGCCTCCCAGAACTTGAAGGTAAGACCCTATTGCTAAAGAAACCATACACGTTGGACACTGGACTTGGAGGAATCAGGCTGGAACTGACCTAGAGGCCTCCTCCTTGATACTAACACTCATAGTATCTCTTCCATGAATGGGTTAAAACTGTCCTTTCATCGGCTGCACAAGATGTCTGGCAAGTAACTGTCTAGAACAAAAGCACTTTTTTCTTTGCCATATTACACCTATATCTATCCCAAGAAGTCCACAAAACTTCCAAAAGACTACAACTTTCTTTTCTGCCTGTGTAAAACAGCCTGGGAGGCTGAGGTTAGCTAAGACTACCAACCCAAACACAAACTCAAATTCTGAATCTTGTGTGCCAACATTCATGCAAAGAAAGCACACACTTTCAGACATCTAGTCACTTTGTGTGAGTACTTGAAGGCAGGAAGTATGTCTCGGTAAAGTTCATCACAGTATCTAGGTTGTATCTAGCTGTGCATGAATGTACTGTGGGCTTCCTAAGTGCTGTGGAACTTTGCAAGGGATCAACAATACTTTGCAAGTATTACATGTGAAAATTCTTTTCTCTCAAAACTGGATACTATTCTTATCCAGCGTTTCTCATCACCTGTAGCTGTGTATGATTGGGATACAGGATAGATTCTTTCCATTCCAAGAAAAGGGTTCAGACGCTTTTCCCGCTGCAAAGGGAACACCACTTTTGTAATAGCATTACTGATTCTTCTCCACTCCAGTATCAGGCCTGGTAAAGGATGCAATGCCTTTAATTTATTTAAAACATCCTGCAAAAGAAATATAACAATGAAAGGTCAGAATCTTATCCAAATTCAATCACAAATTAGAATCGCTCTCAAAACTTAGTTTGATAAATCCTGTATCTACAACTCAAAATCAGTGTTTAGGTATTTTTAGAAATCCATAATGATAAATCTCTAAGTACAGTTTATGAGATACCAATGTGGAAATGCTGACTACTATCAGTTTACAGCTACCTTAAAAAAAAAAATCAATGGAACATCAGTTTTACAAGCACCTGCCCTCCATACCCATGATTTACAGCATCTCTTCTTTGTACTTTCATCATCTCTTCTGTAGGTGATTGGAGGCATCATAATCCTCCTTCTTACTCCGATACAGAGTTTCCATATCAAAGAAATCAGGAGACATTTATTTTTAAAACTTTGATCATTCTATGGCATGATCCATCAAGGAACAGAAACTTATGAGGCAAAAGGACCAGTAAGACTAACAAAAAACTGTACCAGGAATCTGAGCTGTGTTCATTTCCAGGGCATTAGTCATACTTTGTGATGTCAGGATCAAAACTCCACAGAATGGCAACAGAACAGCTCTCCATAGCTGCTGTGGCTACATTTTCTATTTTCATAAAGAAACCAGTCAAAGTAAGCCTTTTTTTCCTTCTTTCCAATCAATGCACAGTGTCCACAGATTATCATTAGCAAATTTTCTTTGAAAACAGCAGATTAAAAGTCTTGGAACAAATTCATGGAAAAGTTATTTTGCCTTGAAACGGAAAAAAACTCTTTTGTTCTTTTGTAACATTGTTCATATAGCTATATAAATTATATTATACTAAAAATCCAAGAGTACTGGATAATAATAATGTTTATAAGGTCAGAGTTCACAAACTTCTACACTGTTCTGATGATAAGAAGGGCAGACCTAGCCACATGGTGGTCCAGACCTTTAGTCCCAGCACTTAGAAGGCAGAGGTAGGCAGATCTCTATGAGAACAAGGCCAGCCTGGTTTACAGAGTGTATTCCAGGCCAGGTGGGGCTGCAAGGAGACCTGTCTCAAAAAAACCAGAAAGGACAGACCTGCTAACTCAGATCATGGTCCTGATTTCCCATGCTGGACTGTCTCCACACATCACTATGGGCTACTGAACCACAAACCAACTTGCTTGCTCGCATCTGAATAAGCTAAAGCAGTGGACTATAGTGACTCTTGGTATCATCAACATTCTTTCATGACACCAAAAAGCTAAAAGTAGTTCAGCCTCTGCCCTGAGAGGGCCCCAAGGAGCACCTTATTAGTGCTGAACTGTCTCCCCAGCCTTAGCTTGCGGCCACCATCATTCCCTCTTCTGGTAGAACCCAAAGTTTTCTTGCTGCCTTGCATTTTCATCTCTCCATTTGGTGGCAGCTTCAATTCCAAAAACAGAACCTAAAAAGAAATAAATGCCTCTTTAATCAAGAATCAGATGCAAGTTACCGTCACTCAGAAAATACTTTTGAAAGTTATTTGAAAATATAATCTCTACAATTTAACATGGGTTGGAGGAATATTTCTTTGGGCAATCACTTTTGGTAAATAATAGCAATGAATATGTCTGCCAGGTAAGCTATCTATACCTTAATCTGGGTAGTAGCATGCTTTTACAGGAACACAGGCATATATATGCTGTGCTAAGCAACTGACAGCTAAGCTATTGACACTGAGATGTGAGGTGGCTCTGAGGATAATAAGCTCTGCTAAATACTCCTGAAGAGATAACCAGCATGTTCACTGCATTTAACCACCACAGACCTTAACACAGGAGTCTCTGGAATTGTGTGATCCAAAAATCACAGTGAAGGTCTGGAAATCCATCTAATCTTAGTACCACAACACTGAGCCACGAAATCCCCAAACAAAGGGTAGGAAGAAGGTGGCTGATTCAATGTGACTGGGCATATGGCACACACCTGTAATCCTATGACTTAGGAGGCTGAGGCAGGAGAATGCCTGTGGAGTTCAAGACTAGCCTGAAACCAATGTGACAACAATGAAGTCTATTAAACAGCTAAGAAACCTGTCCTACACAGGCAGGGATGAGGCTCTGAGACAGTGATCCTATGTAACCTAACCCTCACCAACTCAGATTAGAGGGGCTTAAACTCAGGCAATTCGGAACTTTATTTACTATACTTATTCATTTGCTTACTTATTGAATGGCTTTCAATGCATCCTGAATTATTTTTCCAGCAATAATTTTTAAAAATCAGAAGCAATTTACGTAAGTACAGAGAGTTTTTTTTTTTCTTCACACAAGTTGGCCCAGGAACAGAAAGATAGCCCATGCTTCCCTAGGGCAGCAATAATGACAGAAACAAAGATACAGTCTATTTCACAGTAGTAGCAATAGTTGGCATTCTGGAAATGATAGGTATTGAGGCTTACAATGTAGTTCATAACACCTATGAACATATGCATGCATAGAGGGATTAGGGTTGCGACAATTAGCAAATAAAGTTATAGGGTGTCTAGTTAAATTTTAACTGCATGGAACATAGTTATACCAAAATATATGCGGTTTTTTGTTTGTTATACCAAAATATATGGGTTTTTTTGTTTGTTTGTTTGTTTGTTTTTATGTGTATATGTGTATTGCCTGCATGTAGGTAAGTGAACCCATGTTGTGCAATGCCTGCAGAGGACAGAAGAGGCTGTCGGATCTGATCCCCTGGAACTGGAGTTACGGACAGTTGTTAGCTGCCATGTGGGTGCTGGAATTTGAACCCGGGTCTTCTGCAAGAACGGCCATTGTTCTTAACTGCTGAGCCATCTCTCCAGCCACCCCCCCCCAAAATATATCTGGTTTTTTATCTTAAATTTAGATTTAAACTACAGGGTAGCCTATATTTTATCAAGAAATCCTACTATAGATATTAAAGGGTATATGATGACAGGATAAGAGAAAAAAATCAGATAAGTAAATACAAAATATGGAACATCATTAGTTAACAATCAAACAATAATCCTAGAAGAGATTAATCAATTATGATAACATAATGATTTCACATATATTTTGGAGGTTCTTTATTGTCTCTCTTTGGTAAAGCCTTCAGAATTAATAGTGAAAATTTCACATACAAATTCCTTCATCAGGTAACTTTTATTTTAATGTAAAGATCTATGAAGTATCCAGTAGCATCAAAGACCTTCTGCTCCAATCCACAGTTAGGTTCGGAGTAGCTGATAAGCACCCACTTAAGAAACTAGGCCTACACAGGCAGGGATCCAGGCTCTGAAGCAGAGATCCCATGTAACCCAAATGGTTCATCTGCTTTGTTTCCCTGAGTCACAAGGACATCAATCTGTGTTTGCTTCAACCTGCTTGTGTGGAAACCTATACATTCTGTTTTTGATCAGTGCCCTCTATAATTTTGTACACTTGAAGGCTTATGGGCTAAAGAATTCAGAAGAAAACACACACACACACACACACACACACACACACACACAGTCCAAGATCCACACACACACACACACACACACACACACACACACGCACACAAATGCCCCTAAAGTACCACTGAATTTAAGACAGGCCACATGATTCCGAGAAACAAAGCTTCTCATATTCTTTAAAATACGTGACTCTGTGGTTTTAAAGTGGTATTTTTATGAGGATTTATAATATTCAGTAAGCATTTATTATGTGATGGTCATTAAATATATATTTTACATTTATCATTTATCCCTTATAACAACCTTATGAAGCATTTCTATCTCAACCGCCATTTTACTGATGAAGAAACTGAGGCATAAAGAGTTGATGTATTAACCATGCCAATTCAAGGTCATGCAGCTGGCTAACGAATGGAGGAGGCAGGACTCAAACCCAGAAATCTGGCTCTGCAGCCGGTGATCTCCCCTCCCCCAACCAAAAAAAACCCCACCATCCTTTGGCAGAGAAGAATATGTTAAGAGTAGAGACTAAGATACCAACCTATGAAATAAAATAAGAGTAACTGTCTAAATTTCAGTAAGGAAACAAAAATTTTAATGACGCTTTTAAAGAAAGTCACAAAAATCCAATTTTCATTTACATTTCAGAAAACTACCCAATTTCCTTTTCTGAAGAAAGATGTTAGAGCAAGGAAGGGGCGAGGGCTTATGAAAGGACTAGCACGTGCCATAGCTATAAAACTGCCACGGGCTGCCACTACCAACCATATGACCAACAGATAGTCCATGAATGCCCCTTCCCATGCAAGCAAACCTGGACCTACATTCAGGAGGTCTTCTTTACTGACTTCTCATCTCAGGAATATAGACATAACTTATTACCCAGGTGCTAGAAGACTCTATTCCCAATGCATTCTAGTTAGTTGTTTTATTTTAGTAATTTTTGGTATTCAGGTAAACAAATTTAGGAGTTGGTACAGAAAGATAAGCCTGTGTCAACTTGTCATTTTAACTCTAAGTTACTTTCCAGTATCTCTTTTTCCAAGATGCTACCTGTGCAATGTCATCTGCACTGGTGAAGGAAAAGCTGTGGCCAGCTAGCTGATAGGCCTGAGTCTCAATGGCATCCAGCTTGGCTTGCATGATGTGCTTCTGAGTCTCACATTCTGCAGTACTAAAGCCGATTCCATTTAGTTCAAGCAAGGCCAGGCAGTACTGAGAGGGCATCTCCACTTTATAGAAAATATCTGAAAGAATTAAAAAAAAAGAAAAATGAAATGATAAACTGTCACCTAAGTAATTAGATCATCAGCACTGCCGAAACTACATAGAATTATTTAAGAACACACCACACCAGCTACCCAAGCTGTCCTTTACGGTCCAGTCTCCTGAGTAGGTCCCCAAACCAATAAAAGGTGGCAAAGGGCAGGTTATTTAGGTACTAGATACCATCCTTGTTTATGCAGAACAGAAGAGCTGGCAATCTTGTGAGTAGTCTGGATTCTTCAAAGACTTAGAAAACCATCTATATTCAAACCATTTAGGAAGGATCTAACTGGTATACATAAGGAGACAGTCCCTTATTATTTATTCATACCAAACAAGAAGCAGCTCTCTATGGGAGAAAGTCAGCTTGCGGAACACACCTACTCAAGAGGCAAGCGGATGAGAAGAGATAAAAATCTGGAGTTCACTAAAATAAATAAGCATATCTGGAAATAATACTTTCTAAACAAACTTTAACAACTTTCTACATTTTCTATAAAATCTTCCTTTTTCTCAATTCTAAGTTTTATGACTAAGACAGCTTTAACGTCATATAAAAATACATTTGGCCCATTTTTTAAAGTGTGCAGGAACAAGGCACTTCCAGGGCATATTTAGATGATGAAAGTTTAAAATAATAATTTAGGGGGCTGGAGAGATGGCTCAGCAGTTAAGAGCACTGACTGCTCTTGCAGAAGACCCAGGTTCGATTCCCAGCACACACGTGGCAGCTACAAACCGTCCTTAACTCCAGCTCCAGGGGAATCAGAAGCCCTCTTCTGATCTCCACAGCATTGCATGACACGGGTGCACTCACATACATGCAGGCAATACACTCATACACAAAAAATAATAAAAATAATAATAATTTAGAGGTTTCTTATACTTTTTTGGAAGGGGAAACTACAGACCCCTTCTTCTCATAGATAAAAAAAATTGTCTTTAAGTCTAGAACAATCCTCTCTCAGAATAAAAGCTTATAAACTCTTGAACTCAGGTTCTTACACATGTTAGGCAAGCATTCCAACACTGAGCTATAGGAGCAGCCCTTAGATTTTTGAGATGGGGTCTCACTTTAGAGCTCAGGTTAGACTTAAATTCAATAGATAATATTACAGCCTGGCCTCAAGTTTCAGATCTTCCTGCTTTGGACTCCTAAACACTTGGAATTGTAACAGGCACCTCCATGCCTAGATTAGAGCTCAAATGAAGATAAGTATCTATAAAAAGTTATAGATCAACTTCTAGCAGGATCTTCAAAAGTCAGTGTCCAGGAACGATACAAACTATCTAAAAAACCTACCCTAGGGCAGACCAAGCAGAGGGAGGGAACAGGAGCTGGAATCCAGCATTACTGTGTATAAATGCAAGAGCCGTCCTTCATCATGGGAACCAGGCTTCCAACTCCTCCATCAGCCTACGTTGGTTTAGAGAGGCTGAGGTTGAAACACCACAGAGCCTTTACAAGAGCTACTAGTGAGTATTGATCAAGAACATCCCCTATGAAACCACAAGTCAATCTGGACTTAGTCTGTGTAATCCTACCCTATGATGTTGGGAGAACAATAGGTCTTGTGGTAGAGGAGAAAATAATCACAATCAACTAATATAACAATACGCACATATATTGTCTCATTTACTCCGACAACTCAGTAAGAACCAGATGTGAAGACGTTTAGTAGCTTAGTGTAGGTTATTTTGCTAATAAGTGAGATAGCCCCAATAGCCTTAGTCTATCTCAACACCTTGATCTGATGAGTCAATACACTCATGATGTAGTCTTCTTATACTGAAGCCAACTCTGTTTACCTTCATCATCTTTTTCTGGTCTCTGTAGTCAAGGAACTTATCCTGGCCAGCAAACTTCTCAACAAATCATGGTGTCTTGTGAGAAAAAAAGAGAATCAACTGGGTGTGGTGGTGCATGCCTTTAATCCTAGCACTTGGGAGGCAGAGGCAGGCAGATCTCTGTGAGCTCAAGGCCAGCCTGGTCTACATAGTGAGTTCCAGGACAGCTGGGGCTACAGGGAGACCCTATCTCAAAAAGACCAAAAAAAAAAAAAATCATATGACTATTCTTTGCTAAAAGAAAAACTACTAACAGCTCTGAAACAGTTCCCTTTTTTAAAATGTATGAAAGATCTGTTATATGAATAACAATCATTTAATAAAATTCAAATATATATAACTGTCAACAACTGAACACAATGTCACTAATTCTATTCATTATAAGGTCAAAGGTCAGCAAAATACGGTCAAATGACTACCAAATACATACTTTTGTAAATAAATTATTGGAAGACACTCATAGCCATTGTTTTGATGTGATTATGGATGTTATCATAATAGATACATCACCAAAACTGAGTACTTTTTGATAGAGATCCTGTGGTCTACAAGTCAAAATTATTTACTATCTGGCTTTTCACAGAAAAAAAGTTTGTTGACTTCCTAACTAGGTAATCCAGAGGGACAGTTGCATAAAATATGTAATTTACTCACCACTGATAAAAGAGTGGTTAAGTGTATGTATATATTATATCCAAAATATTAAATTAAAATGCCAGAAACTGTTTTTACCATGAAAGTTTTCCTTCCGCAACAAAGAGTTGAGTTGATTCATGGAGTTGAAGATGAGAATGGCCTCTACAGATGCTCTATACCGCCCAGAATGCTCAGTGTCCACATTTAGCCCCAGGCTCTGGATTCCTTGGCCTGTCTCCATTCCTTCTAGGAGTGGGAGCTCATGGGGAAGAAAGCTGGTCACTATGCTATGAAGAGTTGGCTCCTTGGAATCTGGATCAAGTAGCCAGCATGCCACCTGAATGGAACAGCAATCAGAAGGTTTTCTTGACTTTTTTTCAAAGAAACATTCACATCTTTAAATTAAAAGGGGAAAACAGAAAGTTCATTTATAACATCATATATTTTCACTTAACATTTATCCAGTGGTCTTCCTAGGAAGAAAAAGGGCAGCATAATTGTAATAGGACTCATTTGAGTACTTATATGAGCAGTGGCCTTCAAAATAAGAAAAAGCTGTACTTTCCATTCCTGAAGTGCTCCTAGCTGGCCCAGTTCTGAAGCAGGCTTGAGAATCAAGCACCTCTCAGCTAAATGGAATTATGTGTTTGGGAATGAAGATGGAGACTTCGCCACTTTGGCTGATTTGAGCTAAGCTACTATAATAAAGACGTGCCTTGGTTTTAGGTTTACTTAATCCTTTTGACATTAGAAGTAATGCGTGCATGTTTTACCACTAAAAGTTAGCATCCAGGGCTAGGAAGACAGGTCAGTTGGTAAAGTGTTTGCTATGCAAGCATGAAGACCAGAGATCAACCCCAGAACCCACGTAAAAAGGCTGCAAGTAGTGGTATTTGCTTGAAATCCCAGCTCTAGGGAGGTGGAGACAGGTGGACACCTGAGGCTTTCTGTCAACCAGGCTAGCCTAATTGGCAGGCCCCAGGTCCCAGGGGCCTGTATCAAAAACAAGGTAAAAGGTTCCCAAGGAATGACACCTGAGGTTGAAGTCTGGCCTTCACATGCACACACATACACGTGTAAACATACACAAAAAAGTTAGTATCCGGGCTATCAGAAAGCCTTGCCTTCAAAATGGAAGTCTGTCACATCCAACTTTTCATTTGATTTTTTTTAATGGTGTTTATATATTTAGGGTTTTTTGTATTAAATTTTTGCAAATTTCACATAATGTATTTTGATTGTATTTGGATCCCCTCCACTAGCTACACCCCCCCTTACTACCCCTTATCCAATTTCATGTATTCTATTATTTTAAGCTTCCCTGTTAGACTAGGTAGCCTATAGTTTCTGATACTAGGTCTAACAGATCATGAACTAGATTTACAGTAAGTTAAATTTAAACCTTCTTAATACTTCTAAAAATTACTAGTTATTTTGCGGTTATTCAGTTATTTCTTTTGTATGTTAAGACTGAAGTTCTGAGGCAGCTGTGATGACTTAGCCAACAACCCTTGCACCTGGAAGGCAAAGGCAGAAAGACTGCTGTATGAGGCTAACCTAGGCTACACAGTCAGTTAACCCTAGGCTATAGAATGAAACCCTATGTCAAAAAAGAAAAGAAATAATTTACAGGGGAGTAGTAAATGAGAATCTAAAATCTCATAAAAATGAGATTTTTATGAATATTTCATCTTCTTATATCAATATACTACGAGTAATAATATTCCAATCAGTTTAATGTTAATAAGAAGGTATTACATAAATCTAGAATACTACTGTAGTTGTAATGAAAGATCCTTATCACCCATATTCTTGTTTTGGATTCTAGAACATCCAAATTAAGTGATAATCTTTTTATTTAGTATAGGTAGTATACAATTTTTGCCCCCAACTCTCTCCCCCCCTCAAAAAAAACCCTAAAAAATCTAAGCCACTTGACTAGAGATGTAATCTAGTGGCAGGCTGCTTACCTAGCATATGCAAAGTCCTGAGGTTGAACCTCAGCACAGTTTATTTATTTATTTATGTATACACAGGGGCTCACTACGTAGCCTTGGTTGGCCCACAACTTGCTATGTAGACCAAGCTGGCCTCAAACTCACAGATCCATCTGTCTCTACCTCCCAAGTGGTGGGATTAAAGGTGTGCATCTGGCCCAAATTCCAGAACTCTCTCTTTTTTAATTTTTTATTGAATTTTTGTGTATTTCATACAAAGAATCATCTTTATAGCCTCTTCACCTTGGGCAAGCTCCCATAACCCCCCAACTAGAGTTCATACATGCTGTCATTTGTGTTGCCTATCATATAAAGTTAGTGTCCCCAGATGTCCCTCAGTCCAAGTTCATCCACTGGGGTCTAGGCAGCCTATCTAGAGTCCCTCCCTTTAAGATCAGTTCTTTCAACTAACATCAATTCTTCAAGTAACATTGGGGCCTGTTATTCATTTCCACAGTTCTGGGCTGGGTTTTGTCTGTTTGAGTTTGCATAGGTCTTGTGCATGCTGACATCATTGTTATAGGTTCATATGAGTAGAGTCCCAGGAGCCTGTAGGACTATTTCTGTATGGTCATGCACCTCCTCCCTGGCTCTTACAATCTTCTGCCCCCTCTTCCGCAATGGTTCCCGAGCCCTGGGTGGGTGGGTTTTAATATAGGAGTCCTGTCTAAGGACCCACACTCTGCAGACTCTTAGTCTCTGTGGTTTGGCCATTTGTGACCTTTTACATTCCTGGCCCTCTGTTGCATAAGGGAGCTTCATTGATGAGAATTGAAAGCTGCATTAGTGTTTTCTTCATCCCTTGTTCTATGTTCCATGAGCCTTAGGTGTAGAGGTTGCATCCTAGATGTTCACTTAGGCTTGGGCCATTCACAGACAATCTCTACGTGAGAGCAGTTGTGGAACTCTGTAATTATCTCTGTCTCTTGAAAAGCAAGCTTCTTTGATGGGTGGTGACTGCGATACTTGTCTACAAATTTAAGGATCCATATTTTGTACATAGTAAGAAATTATATTTGTCTAGGGATGTGACAGCCTTGGAGTTTTCTCTAAGATCTATGGCCTCTCCAGCTATGTATATTTGGCTAGTTTACAGTACCACACATGAGTTTCCTCCCACTGTGTGGGCTTTAAGTCCAATTAGGTAGGTGCTGATTACCCAAGACAAAAGTGCCACTACTACATCAATGTTGTTTGCTGTGCTGGTCATTGATGTGGTTTTTAGGCCTTGAAGCTGGAGTTGTACCATCATTTTTTTAAAAATAAACTAACAACAACCACAGCAACCAAAAAAACCTAACAAACTAAAATTCTAAAAGAAAAATAAAAGGTACCCTATTATTATGTTGGTGATAATTGTCAAATAGTGTAATCTTCAACTTTGCATATTTCAAGTATTTATTATCAACACATGGGAGAAAACTTCAACTTTTCAAGTATTTATTATCAACACATGGGAGAAAATGGTGTATCTTTAAAGATAGGATATTATAAATAAGCATCTGTTAAGGCCTTAAACTATTAGACATTAACTACAGTAACCTGCTACCCCCTACCCCTTCTTCAGAGCCATCATCAGAAAGAGAACACTTGCTACTGTAAGCAATGTTTTC